GCCGAGATAACGCTTAATGGCCTTAATGATCATGCGTGCGCAAGGACACATCGTGACTTCCCTTCTTTACGAGGACCGAACCGCTTCTTCCAGGATACTCGTTCCTTTCCAACCCTCCACCGCTACTCGTTCCTCCTCTTACTCGTTTTGCGGCCAACGAATATAATATAATATCGGATTTTGTAAAGAAATACGAATATTTATATTTGTATGTGAATAAGAAACTCGATTGAAAAAGTTCGGGAAGAAAAATCTTTGGAAGAAACTTAAATTGAATAGAGAGAGAGAGAGAGAGCGGGCATAGGGGAACGAATCGAGTCTCCCCGCTTCGTACACACTTGGTCAAGGAGCGTTTATTACATCCTAACCCCCGAGGCACCGACAATAAAATAATTAACGAGTATCACGCTGTGAGGTTTCGCGAATCGATCATGGAACACTGGAATCGCTCAAGGGTAACCCGTGCTTTTTTGTCGTTCACGCCACGCTGGGCTTTGCTACGACTAATTAGCATGATAATTAAGCGGCGCCGGCGTTTTTTTTTTTTTTTTTTAAAGTATCGACAGAGTTTCTCGCTCGGGGTCAGCTGCGCCTTCGTCGAATCGAGACACGATCCTCTCTTTCGCACAAAAATAATCTCTCTGCAATCTCGTGTAAATACTCGTTTAATTCGTTCGTAAGAAGAGGAAGCTTTTGCCAAACATCGTAGGGAGAAACGATTATCAAATTTTTTACACCCATTGATTTTTCGTAATGTTATAAAATAATAATAATAATAATAATAAATTTTAAAATTGTTTTTTCTTCTTTCTCGAACAGATAGGATAAAATTCTTAGGACGATCCAAGTGAGTAATCGTGGAAAAGCTGTTCTCTTCCCTTCGTCCAAAATTGAATCCAACAACAGTTATCCCATTCTTCGCTCAATTATCTATATATTTCTTCGAATCTTTGGAAAACCGATAACCTCTTTCCACGAAGAATCTCGCTCTCCCCCCTCGACAACCTTTAAAGGAAATTAAGATTTTTTTCCTTGCGCTCGTCCTGGACGGGTCGTCGATTGTTCCCCTTTTGTCCATAAACGTCCGGGCTCGGTGATCCAGGTTTTACAACGCGCGAGGCGGAAAGCGAGGAGGAAACGACGTCATAATTCCACGCGATGAAGCCATTAATTGGTACATTAATCGAGGAACGCCGTGCTACCACGCGAGAATTAAGTGTCAGATGTCTCTCGACCAGAGAGACCCTCCTCAAACCCCCCGCGATTAAGGGGATACAATGTCCCCCTTAACGAAGCTCATCAATTAAAAACATCGTCTCCCTTTCAATGCGGAACGCTCGGTTCGACTCAATTTGTCCCCCATCGAACGTTTTTTTCCTTCTTTCTTTCTTTCTTTCTTTCTCGCTCTTTCTCCAATGGATCAGACCTCGTTTTTACTGCATTTTGAGACGCACTATTTCTCGCTCCAAACAGAGAATTTCCCTTTATCTTTGGCGGAATACGTTCGAGAGAGCTCGGGGATATGCGAAAAGAATTATTACGTTCGATCAGATATTCCGATACACTTTTTGAATTTCAGAATCAGCTGATGTCAGTTTGATAAATCGGTCGTTGGGATATCGACAGGTTTTTTTTTTTTTACAAATAAACATGGAATCACTTATCGTGAAGTGGATATTTCCACGATGAATCAACCGTCGAGGGCTTTCCAACTTCGTGTAATTCCTCGACGAGGAGATAATACAGGTTTCCCTTCTCCTAACCTTGTTGCGAGTGATCGAGAACTTATTATCGTAAGTAGTTTAAATCCAACAAGAAGTGCGAGAAATTTTTTTTAAATCGACGCTTCAAAAACAAGATTACAAAAATAAGATCCACCACTGTTAAATACAATCCGTTAACTGTTTTTTTTTTAATTTTCGTGAAATCGCTCGTAATTAATAATTAACGCAAAAAAAAAAAAAAAAGAAAAGAAAGAAGAAAAAAACTCACACTCGTCGATTGGTGAACTCGAAGTGGAGAGGGGAGGGGGAAGGCAGCTAACGGGTGACCGAAAAGGTCTCGTTAACTCGGGTCCGTAACCGGAGAACAGCTCTCGGGGGTACATTGGAGCATCTCGCCAATTTGTGCGTCGAAATTCTTTTCACGGCAGAGAAAAGGAAAAAGGAGTTAATTCGTGGCTTTAAAACCTCGGGGACGTTCCCGTTCCCACGCCTCCCGGCTGGACCACGACCCCGGCACGCGAACCCGCCGCCAGAAAATCATAATCGCTTCCTCATATCGCGGCGATTCATCGACGAAAAGGCCGGCCATTTGTAATTTGCCGATCACGGCAAAGATATCCAGCTTGTCCATCGCATCCCCTCCCTTTACATATTTTCGTTGGAAAATTCGTTATTAACCGAATTGAAGAGTGTCGAAACTGTTCGAAAATTAAATATAATAAGACTACTAGTTGATCCAATCGAACGACGAATTAATAATAAATTTTAACTGTTAAATTTTATCATCTAATTCGCGTACGATTATTTTTATTTCCAAAGTTGCTCGAGAGAAGATTTTTTACTGATCCGTACGAATCTTGTTACGATTCGGAAGATACTGGTAAATAGCATTTCATACCAGCAAATTGGCGAGATGGACGGCGTGGAAGACAATAAGCGTGAAAACATTATTGGATGGAATTACGACTACGATTCTCCCCCCTTAATCCCCTTCCTTTAATAATCTATCGTGATTCTTGGATAGGTGTGTCTAGTTACGAATAAAACATCGTATTACGTATATAGCGGCTGGAGGGGATGGCGCAATAACTCGGGGGACATTTACGCGGAGGCCCCTTGATTTACAGCGGCTCCACGACCTGCCTTAATAGAAGAACTGCCAACCTACAACCGAGCACGACCATTCTTAACAGCCAGTGAATCTTTTCTTACGTCGACAAGATTCTTGCCGATTGCTTCTTCCATCCGAACGTAACTCATCCGCTCTTGGCCAACGTTCGTCAAACAATTCTCAGACTTTTTTTTTCCTTTTCTTTTTTATATATCATCCACCGTTAGACGGTCTTATCGCAATTCGTGATACAACGTGGAAAGAATTTGTCGCGGATAATTGAAATAATTCTTAATCTTGCTTAATAACTCATCATCATCGAGGATGCATCGCGAAACGGGAATTTCCTACTACTATTACGTTATTGTCATCGCCTCTCCATTTACGAGTCTTGATCGAGTATTAAGATACCTGTCGATTTTATATTCAATTATACACAAGGTTTCTCACACCAGATCTATATATCGACCGAATCCTCGAGTATTTCATTCGCGAGAAAACTCGTTCCCTTTCGACGAACAAGGCGAGTTGTTTTCGTATTCCTCCAACGCTTCTCAACTCTCTGAACCGAAGGGAATCGAGGCTCAGAGATCATCAACGCTGTTTCCATGATATAATACGATCGAGAGACGTATCGAAATGAAAACTCCGCGCTAATAGTCGAGAAGGGGAGTCCATTAACGTTTCACTCGGTATACGCACGGGGCCAAAGCTTTATTAGCTTCCCTATCTATCGAGGCGTTTCGTAGGAATGTCAGCCCCCTTCCTCCCCATCGGCGTATAATAACTCCATTACGGCTTTAATGTTTCACTTCCATCCATCCGGCTACCGTTGCAACAGTTGCCCCTTCCTTATCGCCTCCTCCTACTCGTTCCTCCTAATCGAATCCGAGCTGCGTTTCAAACTTGAAGTCTCGCTCCGTCAGAAACGACACGAAACTGATCGTCTCGATAATTATTTAACCCTTTCGCTACTACGGTCGACCATATCCGCTCTGCGTAAGATACCATTGGGATGGAAATGTTCGATATTTTGTTCTTATCATCGATAAACACCAAACGTCAAAGCAACTCGAATTCCGAGGCGTAACTGTGCAGTTAGTTAAGAGAGCCGATTCTATTCCCTCGCCGTGATCCATCATTGTCTATCCAAGAGAAGATTAAAAAAAACATTCCTCTCGACGGAACATCCGAAGGCATGTATATGATGTACGAGGATCTGCCTTATGCAGATTCTCGTTCCCTCTTTATTTAATAACCGAACAGTATTTGCCAGCAGGCAAAGGCCGAAAGAACCAAGGTCGCCGAGGTTAAGGCGTGTTCGACAAGCTGTTCGTGGCTACCACCCTAAAGGGCTCGCAACCCGGAAGTGTACAGCTCGGTGCAGCTTGTAAAGCGAGTGTATGGCGCGGCCTCTGCCGACTCCTGGATTTCTGGATTCCCCGGCTCGAGGATTATTGGAAACGTTTTCCTCGAACCACGTTGTCGTTTCCAATGGAGGAAGAAGAAGAAGAAGAAGAAGAAGAAGGAGGAGGAAAAAAGTGGTCCTCGACGTCAAAGAAGCAGAAGGATCTTTTCAAAGAGTGGAGAAGTATCATCGAAGCAGTCCCTCTTCCGTAAAGGGATAGGAAACAGGACACGTTTCTATTTATTATAAGTCGGGGAAAGTCAACAATCGGGCGAGTTCGAGCCGGCCGTAAATCACTACGCGATCGTCGTCCCCTGGCGCGCCTTAACGTTAAGGACCGGTATATACGTAACCTATAAGAGGGATGCGCAGGCGGCAGTGATATATCGTACGAGCCCCGCCATTGTCTCTGGATGTAAGTTCACGGCGACGGCCACCGACCGACCAGACTCTTCCTCGTATTAATTACAATGTCCTGAGAGAGAGAGAGAGAGAGAGCCTCGTTCTCGTAGAAATATTATGCACTTATTCTTTAAAATCTACTTACGTAGAGATATCCGTTTCAATTTCAACCCTTTTGCACTCGTATTTACATTTAAGAAGGTTGCCAATCAAGTAACAAGAGAATTCTACTAGAATGTAATTATATTATATTATAGTTGGCAAATATATGCGTGACACACGAGCGCAAAATATTAGAGATGATAATCTCTTATTTAACTGTTTTTAATATCGAAACTCATTTTCGAAGACTCACCGTTCGGTACCTGCCTGCACAGCCTGGCGAACATCCTCTCAGTTTTTAGGGGACCGTCTACCTGCGAACAAGAAGAAATTTAATCTTATACCGAACAATTTCCACGATTTTCTCTCTCCAACCGCGTAATTGCGCGCGCTTGTATCAAAATTCATAGCCAATAATTGAATCTCGAGGCTCGACCTTTAATAGCCACCGATAATAATCACGAGCTTCCCTTACGACTGATAGGCAACGACAGGTTGATTCCTCTTCCCATTTCACGCGCCTCCTCTCGTCCAACGCGGAAATTACAAATTGACTTACTTTTCTCCCCCTTCTTCCTTCCTTTCTTAAGAAGAAACCCGTTCGAACGGATACAACGAATGAAATATCTTTCCACGACACGTGTCTCGTAAATCGCGTATACCACGATATCGATGAGGGTAAATAAGTCCGGGAGGGGGATTGTAGTCGTTTGGGCTATTTGTCTATCCGTATCTACCCGCTCCGTGAGATAAATTTTCATCGGCCTCGTCATCTGAAATTCCGATGGAACATGTACGGGAGACGTACCTGTCGTCGCTTTTCATGCCCGATTCGAGGGAGAAGCGATCGTTCAGAAGGGACCGCGATCGTTGGTCGTGGACGAAAGAGGATCTATCTCTCCCTCTATGTTCTAGTGATCCCGTGGAACAGTTCGATAGACACGAAGAGAAAAGGAAATTTCGATTGTCGGGACTCGTTTGGAATAATCGCTTTTCACAGAGTTTCTTTCGTTGGAAGAGAAATATTTAAGGTGGCTCGATCGTTGGAAATCATCTTTTGCGGGAAGACGAAGAATTCAAGAAAAGGAAGGATTCGTTTGGAATAATCGCTTTTCAGAGAGTTTCTTTCGTTGGAAGAGAAATATTTAAGGTGGCTCGATCGTTGGAAATCATCTTTTGCGGGAAGACGAGTTGGATAGAGACGAAGAATTCAAGAAAAGGAAGGATTCGTTTGGAATAATCGTTTTTCAGAGAGTTTCTTTCGTTGGGAGAGAAATATTTAAGGGGAGGTGACTCGATCGTTGGAAATCATCTTTTGCGGTAAGATGGGGAGCGGAGAAAGATGGTAACCGCGCGTTGTGTCACCATTTGTTCCCGCGCTGTTTCGCATAAACGCGCGAAAGTGATTTACATTTTTGCTCCGCTCGCTGCTGATAATGGTATTTCTACGGGGCGAGGATACCCGTGGCTCATCAAGCTTTTCCATTTGCCGCGGAGGATCGAGCGGAACATCGATTTCCCCCGAGTAATAAATAAAACGCGGAAATGGAGTGCGCGAAATTCCATCCCAGAAATGGAGAAAATGGAGGGTTCGAACGATTCGACGGATGAGAAAGATTATCCGCAATTATAGAAAAAACAGTGTATTACAGCGGAACAATGAAAGATATCGATAGATATCGATCGATTATCTCGTTGATCTTATCTCATTACTCTGATAACAAAGTCGAGGAAACAGAATGTCGCGACACTGTGATGATAATAATAATAAAATAATAACACAAATAACTCTCGTAAATCTCGATAAAAATCACGATATGACGAAATACGTCTCGATACTTTTTATTATTATCAACGACTCGATCAAAACTCGATTACACGATTATTAAATGTACACGACACTCGTGTGTCTCCATTCTGTCGAATCGTTTATTCTTTTCTTTGCATTATCCTTACGACGACGTTTATTCGTTTCGACGAGGCGAGGGGAGAAATTCACATCTGTTCACTGTTCGAAAAACACGAACGCGCGAACGTTGGGTGGAACGCCTCCTCCTCGACCCACGCGCACGTTGGATCGCGGCAGTCGTGCGTTTTGTTCAGCATAATTATCTCGGGATACAGTCATTAATTAGTATCGCTAATTATGTGGAACAGCGGCAGCGAGCAAGCCATGGGGGAGAGTGGCGAGGCGGCTCGGCCTTATCCTATTTGTCGCGCATAAATAACAGATTAATGCCGAGATATGGTGGCTTATGCAAATGCGGGGTTCAAAGTTTATTGCATCTAATTAACCATATTGCCGGCCTCGAACTTAATAAAACCGACCGGTTTTTCCCGCGTTTCTTAATCCTCTCGAAAACTGGACGACTTCTCGAAGTGGATTCAAGGGATCATTTATCCTTAAGATGTGACAATTTAAAATTGTAATATAATACACTTGGATATCAAAGATTCGAGGATAAAGCTGCATCGATCGTTTCATTCGCAACAACAATCAGATAGAAGGCTGATAGAAGAGGATCGATAAGGGAAAGTAAATCTCATCGAGATATTGCACGCAAGTTATATACGGTCACAGATGAGAATTAGGTGTGCGGGGTACGGAAGTTGACGAGGAAGTACTCTTTCTAACTTCCTGCACACGTGACCGAACGAGTGCGCCAATTACGCCGAACTTTTGTACTCGCGGTGCCTTGTAATATAACGTGTCTCGCGATGCATTGCCAGCGCGACGACGGTCAAGCTGTAATAAATTATTCAACACGGTCGAGCGATAAAGCGTAATGGTTTCGCCATTCATCGTGGCCAACCAGGATCGATGCAAATCCTATCCTATTTCCGTCTCTCGTTTCGACGACCGCGGCAAATTTTCAAAAGCACTCGGCTCGAATAAACGAAAATTTTCTAAGCAAAGGATCGAAGGGAAGGATCGATAGAAGAGACGAAAGATAAGTGAATCCTATCCGTCACAAAGATTCCTCGAAATTTTCAAAAGCACTCGATTCGATTCGATTCGAATCGTCTAAGCAAAGGATCGAAGGGAAGGATCGATAGAAGAGACGGAAGACAGGCGAATTCTATCCGTCACAAAAATTCCTCGAAACGCACGCGTTTCCATTTCGACGAAATTTTCAAAAGCACTCGACTCGACTCGATTCGAATCGCCTAAGCAAAGGATCGAAGGGAAGGATCGATAGAAGAGACGGAAGACAGGCGAACCAGGATCGAGGCAAATCCTATTTCCATCTCTCGTTTCGATAACAAATTTTTAAAAGCACTCGGCTCGAATAAGCGGAAATTGCCCGAGCAAAGGATCGGAAGGAAGGAGAGGCCCCTCGAAAGGGGTGGAGCGACGTTGGGAGGAAAAAATGGGGCACGGACGCCCATGGGAGACGTAATGCGACGCCTTGATGGACGACTCGATCGGGAAGGCGGAAGTGGCAGGGGCTGAAAAACTGGCATTTAGAGAGGCGAGGGGGGGCATCCCTGGATACAACTGCTCGTGGATAGGTGGAGGCAGGTTAGGCCAACGCCGGCCGCCTGTTTGACATAACCAGTTCGGAGCTGCGGGCAAGGACGCCGCGTTTGCCTCCCCCTCCCCTCTTTCCAACCCTCGTCCCGAGGCGTCTCCGCCTCCTCGTCCCTCTCGCGGGACGCACAATCGGCCGTGCCTGACCACCGCAATGCATCATGATCGATCGCTGCCACTCGCGAATCCACGCTCGCCTCGCCTCTTCCTCTCTTCGTCTCACTCGTTTGGATAGAGGAGGCGTGGAAGACTGATGGAACGGGTGATCCTGATTTCGTGTACAGGCAGCAGAGGGTGGAGGTAGCAATTAAGGGTGGCGAGAGTAATAATGTCGAGTAATAACCCTATTTGCTTGATGATGTATACTACATTAGGTACATGGCGTGGATACATTAGCCAGTGGTGGAAAAATTGTTCCAGGTTTCCAGGAATCTTGGAGAGAGAGATTCCTTCCTTCTCCTCCTCCTCCTCTTCCATTCTTCACTATTATCAGCGTGACACGTGTTCCATTCGCTGGTGAATTGTAAAAATTGTTGGATAGTTTATAGTTTATACAGGTTGGGAAATGATGAATGAGGCAGAAAATCGAAGAAGAAACGGACGTTCGAAGGAATGTCTCTCCGATGCCCGATTTTTGCGGCGATCAATTTAATCGAGACCCGATCGAACCTCCACGACCGATTTCACCTAAACCTCCTGGAGGAGGAGGAACAAAAGGGGAGAGGCGAGGTAAGAAAGCACGACGCGTGACGATCTTCAATTTTCCAGAACGTTGTGGATGGCACGATTTTTACAGACGTATCGATCGGATCGCTCCACCAATTATTCCGAACGAAATTAAAATAAAGCCAATAAGACGGGTTGGAAACCTTTTACAGCCAAGCCTTTTTGCACGCGCTGTCAGATCTACCTGACCGATCACCCTGCTGGGCTCGCCAAGCTCGAACAAGCGGAAAGGAAAATGCATCCACGCCGAGGTAGCAGCGTTTTTCCAATCCACGTAGTACACACACACACACACACACACACATATACACGACACGCGGCGGTGCCCGATCGTTAAACCGTGATGGAGGTAAGTTCCACGAAAAACTGGATGCGTAACAGGGTCCCTGCGGTTGATTGTTGTTCGTCAGGGATCGAGAGAGTCCGGCCTCAATGAGAAAACAACCGTTTACGATACGTACGATGCCAACTTCCAACCAAGTCGTACCACACGGTTTTTTGCGACAAAATCGTTGCCCGATTCCATTTTCCCTGCCCTTAACAGAAAAATCGATAACTCGTTACCTTGGTTGGAGATAACGATAACGATGATGATGATGATGATGATGATGATGATGGCGAGATTTTGAGAGAATTTTTTAAATCTGAGAAGATGTGTGGAAATATCGAATATTAGGTTGAAAACGTTTAAAAGTGTTGGAGAAAGGTTGGAGAGAAATTATATCATCCTTATATTATATTAAAAAAAAGAAAAAAAAAGGATTCGATTCGAAATTCGTTCGATCGGGTGGTCCTTTGAGCGAAGGATCAATTATGCATGCTTCGAGATTACAATAATAATCGATCACGATCGTGATATCGCGACTTAAACGGACGTATTAAGAGAATTTTTTTCAATGATTTTCTTCGATCTTTTGATCCGATAGCTCGGGTATGTTAATCGTGCCACGCGATTTGACATTCATGGGTACGGTTCGGGAATGCGATTAATAGCGATAATGATATTACACGATCAAATAATGATCGATAATTTCGAGCCTTGATGCGCGTACACGA